TCACTGACCGGCTTTGTTGTTGGAGATGATTTTTTTGAAGTCACTACATAGCTGATCATCCTGTTGTTGTTGCACACATTGGTGGGTGATGGTTGCATCTCTCTTGAAAGTTGAAATCTGTGGCTTTTTAAAAGAAGTTTTGTTGGAAGTAGGTTTGAGAAAAATAGGTTTTTAGTTTTCTCTGATTGGTCAAATATTTCACATGGTGATGTTAATTTCTAACCAATAGATACTTTGATTTAAATGATGTGGAATCTTTTTGGCATGATTGTAATATTGTCTGTTATTGAATAGAAAATAAAGTTTGGGCGTATTTTAATATGGTATGTATGTGGGCATGTAATTGTGTGGAAAATAGGATTTATTTCCTACAGAACACCTCAACTTTTGAAAGTGAATTAAAAATAAGAAAAAAGCTGTCTTTCTTACCTGGACTATGTAAAATACTCATGGCCAGTAGCCAATAATTATTGGCTAAATTTTTAGGTAACTCAATTTAGGGCAAATTTTAACATTCGTGCCTGCAAAAAATTATTATTTTAACTAGTTTCACTTCTTGGCAATTTTTATTGTTTTAAACAGTGAATTTATACATTTTCTTTGTTCTTGAGAATTTACAACAAAAATGTTAAATACTATTTAGACTGTAGATATCCCTAGACATGGGCAGTGGAATGAGAAAAGTCTACCCTTGAGAGTTCAGTTCAGAATTTCCTGTAGATTACCGGGATCAATGAAGGCCAGAAAGAACAATTGCCGAAACATTGTAATGATAAAAACAAAGATCGTTCAAATGTAAATAGTGTAAATAAAAACTTTAAATTTTAGATGGGATATGAAATTTACAATATCTAAACTTTGCCTTAGGGATTTAAATCTCTCAAGTGGTTCTTGGAATAAAATCATACCCTTTCAGGTATAACACTGAATACATTGAATAATGTATTCATGTAGAAGAGAAACATTTGTAATTTCATCTTGAAGAGTGACTCCAATATACTGTCATATTTGTATATATTTTATCTTATTGAAAACCAATCAAATTCTCACAAAGCTAGACAAACAGAAGAAATAAAATTATTTTAATTAGGAATTCATTTCTTTGTTTGTAGATATACTTTCTTATGAGATTAAAATTGCAGAAACTAATTGCCAAACCACCTATATGTAATAAATTTATAGCCTATTTGAATTCATTTGGCATTAGTTTTATCATCTTGAGTCACTCTAATTTTCTCTCACCTTGTCAGTTTCCCAATGTTTATTTAGATATATCATATATGTTTATTTATATATGTTTATTTAGAAATAAATATGTTTATTTAGATATATCATATATAAGCATAATATAAACATGAGTACATTGTTATCTATTAGCATATTTGTTGTAAGTAATTATCAAAGTCTTAAGCAACATTGAACCCAGTCAGTAACTAGATGGGTGATTGCTTGGAAATATCAGCTGTAACCTTGGATGTGCAGGGGGTGTATGGATAAAGGCTTGGAATTGGAATTTGGAGAGCTGAGTTCCAATTCCAGTTAGGTTCATTATATTCACTTATGTGCTAATAACCTTAGGAAAAGTATGAATCCACCTCTTCTTCCCCCAGGTATGGGTTAATTAAAGGGTTAACTTGTATTAGTAAAAATCCTTATTCTTCCACTCTAAAAATATTTTCTGGCTTTAAATAACCTGAAAAAGGTTGATAAACTGTAAAAAACAAATAAATCATTCAAAGTAAAAATGTTAAAATAGATTGTTCTGGTTTCTCTGACCCTTTTTAGGGATATCTCATCTTGTTCTTATTTACTATTACTTGCTATGTTCCCATTGAGTTGAAGTCAGTTCAGGATTGTTATTTTGAGGACAATAGTGAATTGGTATATTGATTATTATTAATATTATATTGTTATTGCGGTGTTGTGTATTTGTTCTCACAAATATGCTGTGTAGTCAAGGAAAGATAACTACCTACCGAGTATAGAACTCTTCCCACATATACAACCTCATTTGCATATAACCACATCTCCTGGAACCTTAGAGGCTTTATGTTCTTGATAGATCTGTTACTTCGAAAACCACTCCAGGAGGTGTACTGCCTGTCTCAGGATAATTGCCTAGTTTCTTCTTTATGGCGGATTGCAGTCTTACCGGATTTTCTTCATTCAAATTTTCCTCACATTCCTCAATATCACTAGACACACTTATTCTCTCTTCCTTTCACTCACCAATTCTTGGTGATATTCCTGATCCCTCTCTTCTGCATCAGGCTCTTCCTCTATTTCAATATCTTTCAGCTCACTTTGCAATCTAAACTGGTCTTCATGAACTGACACACCCTGTCCATTTTTTGTTAATATCATTATTAAATACTTTTTTCACTACAAATTGTGCTTTCTCAGGAATCGAATCCTTTTGTACCATACATTCTCATTTGTTGAGAAAGACTTGGTTCTTTGGGCTTTAATTTGCCTTCCCATCAGTTATATTGATATTGTTCAAGATTATCACTTGACACAATAGCCTAGTCATTTGTGAATATGATATAGAAATTGTGAGTTCAATCCCTGGGCTGGATATTTTAAAAATCACTAGTTATTACAGAGCACTAGTAAAAATATAACAATATCAGATATCCCTAGATGTGGACAGAAAAATAAGAACAATCTAACCTTGTAAAATAAAGAGGTCAGTTTGAAATTCCCTGAAGATTGACATATACTTGAAAAAGTTTGTATGGCACAATGGTTGAAATGGTGTGATAATAGCAACAAAGATGAAGACATTAGTCCAAATGTAAATAATGATATCTCCTCATTACAGAAATTGTCAAAATATTAATTTTGTGCTTTATGACTTAAGATTTTTTTTTAAATGTAATGTGTAAGAAATTTAAATTTTGATTTTATGTTGCTCAGTGTGACACTGAAATCTAAAAGTACACTGGGATTCTAAAAGTTGTATTCTAAAAGCTAAGCAAAGAAACAGGAACATTTCATTAGAAACAAAAAAAGAGTATTAAATTGCTATGCAATATAATCTTATCACAGATGAAGAGACTTGAAACAACAAAAATGTGGTTCTACAGAAGAATGCTGAGAATACCATTGACTGAACATGTGAGCAATGATGAAGTTTTAGAGAAAATAGAAACAAAAAGACAGAAAAAAACATCAGGAAGAGACAGTTGAAATTCCTAGGGCACATAATGAGGAAAGAGAGTTTAGAAAACGTGATACTCACAGGAGAGATTGATGGCAAGAGGACAACAATGAATAACTTACCTAGTATGCTTGAGTAAATAACTGGCAGAATAAGGTGTAGGAGAGATAAAAAAAAAAGACAAAATTGATTAAGAAGTACAAAGGACAAGAAATTGTAGAGAGCTATGATTGCCTACATCCTTAAAGGACATGGCGTATAAAAGAAGAATAGCTAAACTGTTTTGTGGTGATGAATGTTTCATCTGATTATTTGTCATTTCATGAGAATTATATAGGTATGAATGTGCTTTCACTAAGAACAAATATATATTAACATTAACGGAGGTAAATAATAATACATAATGTTCAACAGATAATGAGTGATAATAATATCACATGTCAGGTAAATAGTATCATGTTGTGGTCATCACTGTAATGAGAGAGAACTATATAAGAAAGATTTATTCTCCCATTTGTATTTCCCCCATTATTATATCCATGATATAATAACACAATAATTCACAGACGGAATGGCTGAAATGAAAAAGAATGACAAACATTATTTACATTATTCGAACTATTGTCCTCATCTTTGTTGCCATATTTATTACAACGTTTTGTCCTTCTTCAGGTGGTTGGAATTTCAAACTGAACCCTGGCACAGTGGATAAAGGCATTGGTTAGATCCAGTGACAGGATCCAAAGAGTGAGAGTTCAATACCCGGTTAAGGCAGGGGAGAACTTTCAGAGGGAAATTAACAGGAGATAACTGATAACTGACATCCATCAAACATGGCACGTGGAACTAGAACAGTGAGCAAAATAAAGGGTTCAGTTCGACATTCCAACCACCTGAAGAAGGCCGGAGCATACAACGGCCAAAACGATGTAATAAATATGGCGACAAAAATGAGGACAATAGTCCGAATAATGTAAATAATGTACATAATACCTCATCTCAGAAATATAGACAGACAATGACAAACATGCTTTGTTCTCAGAGAGACTTTTATACCACAAAGACAAACACAAAACTATATATACATATATACATGTTTCCCACTAGAAGAATAATATATCATATATCAACATGGCAAAGCAAAAACAAAAAAGTAAGGGTCTTACATATAATATGGAGATTATTTCTATGTCGCTTGGTTTGACGAGTTAAGTCGCCATTTACTTTGCTACATTCATCTGATGATCTTTACAGTATTTCAGTTGGTAAGTCTCTAAACTTGCTTTTAACTCTTGGAGTTATGGAAAAACATTTAAGGAAATAAATTATTTTCCTAGTTCAAAAGCTTTTAATGCTTTGTAAATTTTCCAGAAATTGTAATAAACACCAAAGAATTTGGAATGGTAACTCAGAGAAAAAACCTGCATGAGAACTGTGTGCAACTTGTTCACAATGACTTATAACATGTTTCTTTTTCTCATTAATTTAATTTTCTCGTCTTTTAATTGAGATGCCCTTTCAGAACATGGTCGATTATAGATCTCCACAACTTTTTGTTTTGTGTTACTTTCTGATTGATTTAATTTGTTTTTTACAGCTTATCAACCTTATGCAGGTTATTTAAAATAATTTTAGATTGTAAGAATGTTTTTGAGATAATAAGGATTTGCTGATGCCAGCCCTGCTAATTAACCCATAGCTATGGGGAGAAGAGGCAGATTCATACCTTTCCCAAAGAAATGTAAGTGAATATAATGAGCCTGACTGGAATTGGACCATAGATCTTCAATCTTCAATTCTGAGTTGTTATCCATTACACCATCCACACATCCAAGTTCACAACACCTGGTATTCCCAAGTGGTCACCCATCTAGGTAGTGACCAGACGATGTTGCTTAACTTTGGTGATCATATAAGAACAGGTGTTTTAACATGATACAGCTGTAAGCTATACCACCAGTACATCCAGGTTTACAGTATCTGGAGGGAGTAATAATATTCTGAAGCCACCTAGGTACTGACCACTCAACATTGCTTATGTTGATGATCATGCAAAAACTATATCACCCACATATCCAAGTTTACAACAGGTGAAGTGAATATTAGTATTCCTAAGTGGCACTGATCAATCTTGACATTGCTTAACTTTGATGATCATACGAGAACTGGTGTTTCAACATGATAGGAGGTGGTAAGCTGGCTTTCTAATTGTAAATACCAATTTCATTAAAATTTCCATGTTGCTCACATGTATCAGTCCATGTATTATCAACATGTATCTGTAAAACCATGTTGTTCTGTTATTTTCAGGCTCTTCTTCATCTGTAAAAAAATTGTCCAACATTCACTGACATATAGGAAGATAGCATAACAGTTCAGTAATCTTTTGTTTCTATTCTATATATTAATCATATATTAATAATAAAAAATCCTATCATCAATATAATTTTCATTCACTTTTATATTATTTACTTTCTCTTTCTTTACTTAGGCACAATAAAAACTCCTTTTATCTTTTTAGTATGTGATTCATACCTGGTCAGAATTAAATTTAATGTCAGTAAGGAACCTTTGTTCTAAGAGGAATTGATTTGTGGCAGCCCCAGTATGTACTGGACTTAATCCAGATGATACCAAAATAGACTTTTCACTCAGTGTTGCTACAGAGAAGTCAGGTGCATCAGTGGGTTGACATGGAAGATGATCTTCTATCCACTAGGTGTAGTTTTGTGCCTTCACTGGATGTAAGTGGCTGCCCCCAACATGTAAACAGGCAGTCAATCCTGTTGTGCTTAGGATGTGCACATGTGGGACAACCAATTATAGGAAGATATATGTGCACTAGACTAAGAGGAAAAATAGTAGGGAGTCTCTTATATCACTGCAATATGTACTGAACTTAATCAAAATAGAATTTACACTCAGTGTTACTTCAGAGTTTCAGTGAAATCAGGTGTATCAGGGTTGACTTGGAAGATAACTTCCTAACCATCAGGTGTGGAGTTGTGCCATCACTAGATGTAAGTGGCTCCCACCAACATGTAAACAGGCAGTTAACCCTGTTGCACTTAGGATGTGCATATGTGTGATAATCAATGACAGGAAAATATATACACACCCTACTAAAAGATAAAAATAGTAAATAGTCTCATATCATTGCAAGAAAAAGAATCTTTGGAGAAAAACCCAAAGACACACACTGACTTGTCAAAATATTCATTTATGAAGTTAAGAGTTGAATAAATAATTCTGTGTATGAGAGATTTGACCTTGTGTTCTTATTGGTCAATGTACAATGATAACAAGACATCATCCTTATTGAAGGAAATGTAAAAATTTGCTGGTATATTTGTAAATGATAAATCTCAACATTGCATATCTGATCAGAAAAGATATTTTCTTTCAAATTTTTTTTACATTATATTTTTTTTTGTCTTTTCAGTTGAAAATATATTTAATACATTGAGACTGAAAAAAAAACAATTTTAATAATCTTTGCAGTTGTCCTTCAGTATATTTCAAAGAAGACTGTTTTTTTTTCTATAAGACTTTAAATGTTTGCGTGATAGCAGTTAGACCTTTTAGTAGTCTCTTGTGTTTTACAATGAGATTTGTTTAAACACATTATTATAGCTTGAATTTTCAGTGGACAGCAGTAAAATTCATTTTTATATTTAAAAAAGATATCAATAAAGTAGACATATTCCAAATATATTTTCACTGAGAGACATTCACTCTTAACTGAAATAATGGTTGAATTTACAGAGAAAGTAATACATACAATAATGGCATCCTAAATTCCCAGGAACCGTTTCTATAAAGGTAGACAATCTATTCTGCTTATTTTATTTTCAATCTGAGAATGGAAACAAGTCACTTTATAGTATCAAAAAGAATTAAACCATTTTGATAATTTAATAGAAAACATTTATTTATTAAGATATTTTCAGATTGAAATTCTGTCTTCATCTTATTTATTTTCAGAAGTATGTTTTTTGACTCTGGTGACATCAGCTGTGTTATGGTTTCTAAGCCACATTCAAACTGAATTGCTGCAGTCCCAAAGATCCAATGGAGGACCTATCAAATTTATGACCAAAAGAATTGCCACATTTTTAATGATTTCTTCTGTCAGAATAAATTATGTCAATCACAGAAAACCCACTTTCAGCCTCTGCAGAACTTACACCAATGGTATTAATTATATTTTAAAATAAAAAATAAAAAATTAAAATATAAGATTATTTTAAGATAATCCAACAGCCAGGTTCACTAAGCTTTTATAATTTTAAGAATCACACAAACTGGTAGGATGCCAATACTGAATAAATACAAAACATGAATGGAAAATTAAAAGATGGATGCTTTTTGTTTGAATTTCTGGTATGAAGAATTACAATTATTTACATTTGGACTAAAATTTTTGTTGTTGTTATTACAATGTTTCAGCTCTTGTACTTTCTGGCATTCTTCAGATGTCTGTCACTCTAGGTAAACTTCAGGGAATTTTGAATTGAACTTTTATTTAATCTCCAGTGAGACAATAGCCTCGAGCAGTGCTTCTTAAACTATAGGTTGTGACTCCAAATGAAGAAAAATGGTTGGGACATGAAAATTAAATTCAAACATTTGAATTCACTGAGGAATCGAGTGAGTCAAACTTGAAACTTGAAATAAAAATCTTTGACTGAATTCTGGATTGAAGCTAAAGCTGAATTTCCCAGAATTTCTGAAATTGTCATTTATCACCATATACCTATATGAAATGAATTTTTTCATCTTTAATCCTTATTAAAACCAAATAGTGTTCAATGCTGAAAGATGTAGAAGATGCTTTACATCCAGCAGTGTTACACTAAGATTTGTTATGCAGCAAAAAACAAGCACATCCATCACATTGATTGTTACTTTGTTTTATTTTTTTTTTTACTTTGGTTAATTTTTGTACTTAAAACAAAACCCAAAATTACTTTTGACAAATAATATAACTACTTTTTTATACTTATATTGTCCAGCAAAATAATGATTGTGAAAAATCACATTATAAAAAATGGGGTCATGAATGAAAAAAGTTGAAGAAGCACTGGTCTAGAGGATTAGATCATTGGTTCATGAATTTGGTGATGTAGTATTTGCAAGTTCAATCCCTGCACTAGGTAGTTCAGACTTAGACATAGTGGAAACATGACTGAGCAGTACTAAAAAAGAGCATGGACAAATGAGACAAGAATAATCTCCCCTCAAAAATTAAGTAAAGTGTTTAGTTTGAAATTTCCTAAGAGTTACTTGGATTGACGGATCTGAAAGATGTAATGGCTGCAATGTTATGATAATGACAGCAAGGATGAGGATATTAGTCAATAAGTATTGATATATGTTTAGAATTACAACCTTGGTATCAAAACATGTAATAAAAGATTTGCCAGCAAAATTTAATTGTGGTGTTATATAATTTCATTTTATTGTTTGAATTGAATACAAATTTTTCTCAATTTTTCCATGTAAAAGGCATAAACCTGTAACTGAACTGGTTACAAAACATTGAATTTATATATTTTATATACAAAGAATATGTGTTAACTTCAGTTGTGTTAACTTCAGATTTAGTGTCTGGGGTAATTTAAACTATTGTCCTTTCTCCTTAGCCATGAGAATTTATAAATTCTAGTTTTGTATGTATTTTCTCAACTTATTTAAATTTTGCACCGCTAAAAATTTAGCACCTGGGGCAATTGCCCCTCTGGCCCTACTCAAACTACACTACTAGTCAACATAGTCGATTAACATGACGATTAATTATTTACAGTATTTACATTGTTCAGACTATTGTCCTCATCTTTGTTGTCATATTCAAGACATTTTGACCATTGTATGCTCAGGCCATCTTCAGGTGTTTGGAATTTTGAACTGAACCCTTTATTTCATCCACCAGGGTAGGTTGAGCTAATTCCACATACCATGCCTCTTCCCTTTAACTCAACTCTTTGTTATTTGTTCACCTCTGGTGTGACCAATACTTTGGGTCAACTCACTGGATTACCAATGCTTTTATCCACTGGGCTATATATCCTTGAAGAACCCGGTTTTTTATCCACTGGCCATGTGTCCTTGGGGACACATGGCCCAGTGAATAAAAGAATTAGTAATATAAAGGGTTTGGTTTGAAATTCCATTCACCTGAAGAAGGCTGAAGTGTGCAACAGCAGAAACATCATGAATATGACAACAAAGATGAGGACAATAGTTCAAACAATTTAAATACTATACATAATTACAATATCTCATCTCAGAAATATAAACAGATGATAATAATTAATATGCTGAAGATATTACAGCTGACTGCAGAAACATTTCGATGTGTTGATATTATGCAATTCAAAATGGTTAAAATGAATTAAAGCAGCAGATTTTGAAAAACTGAATATGGCAAATCTTAATTTGTTAAAGGGGGTAAATATTTGTATAATTATTTTAGAGTTAGTTAAACAGTTTTAATTTCAGTAATTTCTGAAATCGGAAAGCTGAATTTGAATTCCAGTCAATCCATTATATTCACTTATGTGCTAATACCCTTGGGAAAGGTATGAATCCTCTTCTTCTCCCCCCAGCTATAGGTAAATAGCAGGACAGACTGGGTTCTGTAGCCTTGTATGGCAACTGGTCTACCGCAGAAAGAAATGGCAATGTACTGCGGGGAAAAAATCTGCCTCGTCAGTCATGTATCGAAAGATACATGGTCACCTATGTGTGTATCATGCATGGCACATAACTGACTGACTAAATTTCTCTTCAATTTTGTTTGTGTTGGGGAAACTGTAATTAGAGACCATGTTCTTATTTTAATCAGTTTGTTATCAATTACTAATGCCCCCTTCTTCCTTATGCATTGTGTCACCTAAAGATGTAGACGATCATTTCTCTCCACAATTTC